TTACTAAACATGTTAACGTTTTATAAAGGTAAATATAGCATGTGAATGTATCACGACAATTAAATTAAACATAAACAATTTTATAAAACAAATATTAAAATTTATTTTCAGTTTATAATTGATTTAGAACAATTAGATTTCGTTTGTTTTTTGCAATGCAGAGTGTAAAGAAAAAACGATCTAAATCGTGCTAGAATCACTATAACAGAGTCTGGACAAATTCGGGTGCATGTTCGTCTGCCATTAATAGTCGAAGCCGGAAATGTATCACGTGTTTGCCGCGTAAATGAAACTGAGTCTGAAGTGAGCTTAGTACACAAAGATGTATACAAATGTATACATTTGTGTTCCTGGAATTTGACTGTTAATGGCGGAACCAATCAGTAATCGTTACAGCATTGTTTAGATTCTGTTGTATGGTCTCTAAATCGAGCGGTAAGATTTTTTATGAAATAATACAATTTCGATTGGGAAGGATCCTTAATTCTAGATATTGAAAAGAATTACTATAAGAGAATAATCTCAGAAATGTTACACGTTAAAAAACAAAGCAAAAGCATTAACTCTCAAAAAGACACGAAGAGTCTGGACGACACTTGCAGTTATCTATTGAAAAAGTGTCAAACAAATAAATAAATATCACTCGGCTGCCCGAACAGTCCGTCTGTTATCATTGTAACACTTGTGCTTAATAGAATCAGACGAAAACCAAAAGAGATGCTCCTGTTTTCATACATTTTATCATAAGTAAGAAATTTAATTTTAATCATTAAATGAATAATTAATTGATATATAAAAATTGATAATTTTATATATATTGATGACAATATATTTCTCACTTTAGACATAATTTCCACATTTACACAAAGACAGAAGAATCAATTTCTTCGAACAAATTTTACCACAAGTGTCACTTAGACTGTAAGATTACGCTTTCATCTCTGACTTTGTAACATCTATGAGAATCGTTGAAGAAGGACCCGTGAGTTACGAAATGTATTACCGCTCGATTTAGATCGTTTTTTTTTTATAATTAATTTAGAACAATTTTATAAAAAAAAATAATATAAAGTAAATTAAAATTTGTATTTAAGACTATATTAATGGAATCATCTGTCTTGATTTTCGAATCAGCCAAAAGTTGCAATGCGTGCCGAATCCCACTATAGTAAGTAACTTTTTATCGTTATTGACAAATTTTCAATAATATTAGACTCAAATTAGTATATAAACACGTATATTTTTTTTAATACAATCACTTAAATTATGTGCTGACATTTTCTGTACTTCTTAACGTAAATGTTATATGTATTAAAATATAATGAGTTATGTTTAAATTCAGTTATTTCTAGTTTGTAGAATAATACAAGATTCATAGAAGATAAAAATTACATGAATTTTTGATTTTGAACAATACAATAACACTGTAACAATACGATAAGGCTGTAATATTGATTATAGCTTATTAAATTATTCAATGTTGTATTTTTTGATTCATTATGCAGACAAATTTTCTTTTTTGCATAATAAAATGTTTAAATATTTATTTCAATTTTTTTCGTCCCAAAATAACCATCTTATATCTACTCTTTTAAATGTGCGTAAAATGTTTTTCTTAATTTGCTCTTAATAATACAAGAGCAATTGAATATGATTGATTTATAATCTGAAACACCATTAAAAAATACGTGAAAGGTATAAATTAATTAATTATTTTAAGGCACATAAGAAGTATAATTACATATTAATAATGTTGCCGTCATGATTAATAAGTTTTAATTAATAAATTTTACCGTCATAAACGAAGGCAAAGATAAATTAAATTTTCCAATCGCCGCAATTCTACATTCTAAGCAGTTAGACATTATCAACAACATAAATGTACGTTTCATTGATGTTCCATATTGATACCAGCCTTCATCAAATGCTTTGTCTGTTATTTCGGTACTCTATAATTAAAATAAGATAAAAAAATAACAGATTGTAGTTATAAATTATATGTTTATTATTTAATGTTTTTATTATGTGTAATTCATAATTAGGTTTATTGTATATGAGATTTAAGTATTAATATTGCAAAAACAATGTTACAACAATACAAATGCTTCATATCTGCCAATTTGTAAGTGGCTTACTCTCGATGGTAATAGATTTTAATATTAAATTTCGCTGAGGATAACTCCAAAGTGAGTCGAAACGTTCGAAAAGGAAATATATGAAGAATTCATAAAGAACTTGAGTACAATTTTTATTTAAAACTTCGCCATTACACTTGCGCGGTTGACTCTCATTAGCCTTTGTATTGTTGTAACATCGTTTTTGCTTTTGATTGAGAGTCGATTATTAATGTTTATAATAAATTTATTTTTTATTTAATATTGCTTTATTTTATTTAATATTGCTATTATTTATATAGTTACAGTTACAACATTTTAAATGAATATTAAAAATTTTACAACATTTTAATAAATTATGTATAATATTAAACTATTCCTTTTACATTAGATCATAATTTTAGAATATTCTGTTGCAATTATATATAATCGCAAATTCTGTTGTGTGTTTAAAATATGTAATACACATAAAATTAAACATTTCTCTCAATATTATTAATATTATTTACGAAAGAAAAATAGTTTATATAATATAGTATTAAATATCTTACTGCGTCTAATAATGTTTGTACGGAAGAACATAACAAATAGAATTGCGTTAGTGAAGCTATTGAATATGATGTGACCGAAATTCCTTCTGCAAGAGACATTGATGGAACCTAATAATACATAAAATATTTGTCACAAAATTTCAAATAAAGAGTTTTCTTTAAAAGAAAAAATTCATTTGTATTTTAATCTAATTTTAAAAGTTTCAATTTTAAGTTTTAACTTGATAAAAAATCTATTTTTACAATTTATATATAATATATGCAAAAATAATTTTATAATATTTTATTATTATTAAATTTTATTAATTCTTAAAGTTATTAAAATAAATAATTTT